TTTGCGAAGCAGGGCACCTATCAAGAGGGTTATTTCTGGGGTGGTGCAAGAAGTAAAGGCAGATGATATATACATACTGTAGATGGAGTGGTTGTTGCATGTCGACTGACCAGTATAGTGGACAGAGAAAATAAATTCACTCCATCCATACTAATGTTCTTTGATGAAGAGTATGTCCCTTCTCATACAAAGTTAGGATTCATGAGATAACCTGTAAGAGCTTTTGTGCAGGAACCCCTTCAGTGTCATAAATGCAGAAGATTTGGTCGTGTGTCAAATGTGTGCAGACGGGAAGAGTATCATATTCCAGATTAAGTGAAATGCTGCAATTGCGGTGGCAAACATGCATCCGAATTCCTGGTGTGCCCTGTTAGGGGGAAGGAGACCGAGGTGGCAAGAGTAACGGGTGTCCAGCATGTCTCCTTCTGATGGCGGTGAGAAGAGTGGAAGGAGCGAATTGTGGTGAAGAAACAATGGTAGTAGAGCCACCACGAGTTTAACATCAACCGAGGTATCATGAAGTGTTAAAAAGGTGGACTTTGTATTATTTATTGCAACGGTCATAAACTGTACAGCACAAGCAGAGAAGAAGTCTGAGAAAATTGGAATAATTGTGAATGCAGATTAAAGTTTTTTAGATCTCCGTGATATCACAGCCGAGGCCTTGCAATAAATCTCGTCGTTGAATGTTCTGCCCTCATTCAATTTGGAATGGACTGTGATTTAATAAGTGAGATGCCTTTTGTTTGTTGACGTATATTTTGTATGATGTCGTTTTCCCCCCTTTTCTGCGATGGATTTTTGTATTTTCTCGTTCAATACTCCGTCCAGCTGGTGGCGATAATGCACCATTAACATTGGATGCCAACCGAAATGAAACCCAAATGAAGGAGGAGGAAATGCAAAGACTGAACCACTCCTTCCTCATTCGCACATTTCAGAGTTTGCGTTTCCTCGGTTCTAAATAAACTGCTGTTTGCCTTGAGGAATTGCAATCGCAGAAGAATGAATAGTGTGTTCAGTGGGATCTGACATCACTTAAAGGTTCGTGATTTTAAATAGTTAATCAAAATGCAATTTATCATTCAGTTGATAATGTTTTATTTCGGCTCGTTCGAGTGTTCCCGTTTATTCATTGGCCTAAACTTTATTACCGGAAAGAACATTGTTTTGTTGATTTATTGCGTTAATCCACAATTAAAACATGGATTCTCAGTTTAGAAAATGGGTAAATTGCTATTTTTATTTATATATATATATATATATATATATATATATATATATATATATATATATATATATATATATAGCTTGTTTTGATAGGCTCGATGTATTCTGTCCGCGTTTATGGAAACATCTCACATTCTTTCAAGTTGGAACTTTCTGACTCATCGTCAGGTCCGGCAGTGTTAGTCGTCAGTGGTCCAATTTGCAGTGCCATTCTATATTTCCATCCTTCATTGGCCTATGGGCTATTTTGAAGTATCCTAGAAACAATAACAAAACATCATTGCCAGTAATCGCTTTGCTAATGGTGTGTGGTTGGAGGCAGTTTATATTTCATGCAGGGAGTACTGCAATTTTGTACAAGTTTTTTTTGTTGAATGGTTTTCCATTCAGTCAGTGTATTTTATTTGGACCCTTGTATGTCATGGGTTGTAGGTAGCCCAATATTGGACTAAAGGAGCTAACGTTACTCCTTAGTCCAAGAACCATGAAAATAATCCATCTTAACATGAATCGATTCTCAATTGCTGTATGGTTCTAGAAACATAAAACACTGCTTTCATATCATACCAAAATAATTTAACAAATGCAAAAAACTCACTTACTGTAGACTGTTAACTGGTATTTTATGTCACTTACTGTTTCTGCAGTACAGTTGACAACCATGGCTATGAATGCTAAGAAACCCACCTTACTGAAGCACATTCTTCCCATCCCTCTGTATTGGTCTCTGCCTGTTCACAGGAATTTTCTCAGGATCCCTCACCATGTACCCATCTTCCTCTACCACTCTCTTCACTGCTTCAGCATACAACTCTTTCTTTACTACTCTGACCCTGGCAACCTCACCCTGCCTTTCGCTCACTGGACACCTCTGATTTCCAACCCCATGGGCACCCCCATAGCTAACACACGCAACTTTCTCCACATTCCTTCGTCTCATGCCCTCCTGCACACTTATCACATGTAGGAATCTCCCTTCTACACACTGCTGCCACATGACCATAAGCTTGGCACCTAAAACAAAATCTCTCACGGGATAACTGACACATCCTAACTTGACCTTGTAGGGCAAAGACTCTGCTTAAAAACTCAGCAGGACAGACAATGTCTTCACTGTTTCACCACGTTCTCCACTGGGTCTGCGTCACACCAAAAGACAGGTGTCACAGATACCAGGAATCTTCCATTTCAGCTGATCCTCCTAAACACTTAATGCCACCCTTGTTATCACTCCTTTCAACGGCGCCCTGCTCCGGAGAGCGAAGCAAGTCATGCGTCAACTTCAAGTTACTTTCACAGATTCAACAGCCCCCAATCTATTCTCCTCCCAACCACATATGGATCAGCCAGGATACAAGGATCCATTCTCTCCATAAATGTCTCTCCCACTGGGCCAGAATCATCCATGTCGTCATCGGGGTGAGGCATTAACTCGGCGGTCCTCACAGCAGGTACTTCATCCTCACTCTCGTTAGGTTCCATCTCTGAACTACTGGAGCACGTATCCCTCTTTTTCGCTTGACGCCAGCCTTCCTCACCACACTGCTTCCCTCTACAATCAGCTCTTTCTCTGCGGTCATCACTGCACCTGCCACCGCAGTTAATTCATCCTCACTCTCGTCACGTTCAATTTCCTTCTGTAGCTTTTCCAAAAGTTCTGTGAGTTCCTCCATTCCATATTCCCTCAAAACATGTTCCACTTCTCCTTTTTTTCTTGTCCACCATCTTCTCCTTCATCAGATCTTCCAGAAAAATTGTGCAATCCCCCACTCCATATTTACTCAAATGTTCAACTTTCTTTCCTTTTTTCCTGTCTGCCATCTATCCTGTTGTCTCTCTCACCTCTATAGCTTAGATTCTGCAGTCCATTCTGTTTTCCATAAACAAGCGCTGTGACATGGAAATATGGCTGTGTGGGAACCATAACCGTATAAAGTTGATCAAACCTTTTTTGTTTTTTGACAATTATTTCTCACCGATATGAAAGATAACGAAGGTCCTTATGCTACCAAAACCGTACCGCAAACGATGCGTGTTAATGTTCAGACCGAGCGTAGCGGCTCTTAACAAAACTCCCCCCTACAGAAGACGCCTTCGTTCAAATACTTGTGTAATGTAATGTAACTGAGAGTCATGATCAAGGGCTAGGGATGTAGGGTAGGCTACTGTAGAGTCATAAGAGCCTTTTGGTGTTAAAAAAATAATTTAGGCTGTAGCTGTTATCAGTATTTTGTTTTGATTTTAAAGGCTAATGTCAGTGCTTTGCATAGAGAACACCACTTGACATCTCTTGTTGTTGTAGGTCTATAATGTTTGTTGAACTGTAGATTATGGAAAATACAAATAGCCAAGTGAATTAAGTCATGGTAGAAATTATTTGAAATGTTGCCAGGGTAAAATGTTACTCTGAATGATATTTTTCCTGGCTCTACAACTTTCATACCTCAGTCTTTATCCTGAGGGAAATTTCAAGGAACAGACAAAATCCACCTATCATGACAACTTCATGGTGTATATTTTGTATCATATTCTAGGCTACTATTGCAGTTTACAGGGGAAATGCCAAATAGTTGTTCAGCATCTCAATGGCCTATGGGACATTCCAGCTACATTTCTCACAGAATGGACCAACAAAACAAATGAAACTTTTGATGTGTGTGTCTATAGAACCCCTTGGGGGGAGCGTATACCCCAACAAGCAGACTTAAAAATATTGGTATGTTGGAGAAATAAAGCAAATAATGGGCATTATAGATGTGTCATGAAATGGACAAGCTTTTTGGGGAGACTGAACATAATTAGCTATCTGTGAGTTTGTAAGTCCTACGTTAATGCATGAATGGCCATTTCGAAGGAAAGGCTTGGCTGAACACAAAAACAATAATTTAGAAAAGATTTTCAATTCCATTGTTACTTCGGAAAGGAAAATGACCGTTATGGATGTTACACACTCCTTTATGGATGTGACAGAGTCTGAAACAGATTCTAATTTCTTTATCAAATTCTATCATAACACATTTTTTGTCATTTGGAATGTTTATTTTCAGTCTCCCAAAAAGCTTGTCCATTTCATGACCCATTCATAATGCCTACTATTTCCTTTATTTCTCCAAGTATTTAGAAGTCTGCTGTTTCGGGTATATGCTCAACCCAAGGGTTAGTAATTTGAGATACTGTTGATGTTCTGTTAAAAGCTTCAAAAAGATTTTGAAAGGGCCTTATGTAATTTCCTTTCCTATGTAGGCTAAATTATGGTTCCTTCCTATCAAAACACAACCTAAATGTTACATGAACTGAGCAACTATTTACTCCTTTCTGGACCCATCTGACTTAATACCACACTGCAATAGTGATTATTTGACTATCATTGACACAAATAAAAATGAATTGGACATTTGCCAAATTATTTATTGTAAGGCTTTTCCTCATAGTTTACTGGAATCAAATTATTGACACATACAATGCAATCAGTTCTGTTTGGTTCTCGCAGCGCTTACTTCCTTCCATGGCACACAGTTCAATATTGGGCTACATTGCGTCACTCCACTTTCTCTACATTTAGATGGGCAGGCTGCTTCCTCAAGAAGATTGAGGCGCTTCAGAGTTAACATGTGATTGTGTGTCATGATTCTACTGAATCACCTCATAATGCACAGTACACAATAGCAACGTGTTTGAATAAGTAAAATAGCTCTCAAGCTGATCATGAAATCCAATATAAAACATTTCAGGACATTTAATAATTTTGTCAAATCCTATTTATTTTTCAGGTGTTGGGCTGCAGGCTGATCAGAGTCGATGAGATGCTGGTGTGAGGGGTGACACTGGTTTGGTCTCCTCCCTGAGGCCCAGGGAGCCAGGATGCAGGGGGCCATAACACGGGTGTTTGTGGTGGTGGCAGCGGCCATCTTGAACCATCCGCTGCTGTTCCCGCAGGAGAACACCACCCTCCCAGAGCAGGATGAGGCCCTGCTGGCCCGCATGAGGGAGCATGAGAAGAGGCTGGAGCTGGAGCAGGCGCGGCTGGAGCTGGAGATCTTGAATGCAGACACTGAGCAGCAGGACCCTGGCTTGGAGGACGGCTACAGCTGGTACTTCTGGAGCGCCCTCTCACTGGTCATCTTCTTCACTATTGAGGTGTGTCGGCAGGATTTGGCAGACATGGAAGCCCGATACGCTGATGATGAGGATGGGTTTGTTGAGGGTGGATCCATGAGTTCCAAGACACTCATGCTCGATAAGGGAGTCCTAAACAGCTTCTGTGAGAGATGCATCCACACCTCGGCCCATGAGAACTGGAGGGTGCGGGAATTTGTGGAGGGCTTCGCTGATGACCTGCTGGAGTCCCTGAGGAGTGTGTGTGACAGGGAGACTGACATGGAGGTGGGGGACTTTGTGGGCGTTGGGAGCATGTTTGAGTCGTGGAGGGTGAGCAAGCCCCTGATGTGTGATCTCATTGTCCCTTTTGCCCCACCGGAGCCATACTCCTTCCAGTTCCAGCTGTGGTGCAGCCCCTCCAGTGACGTGCCCCTGGACATACAGGGCTGTGGCAGGATCAAGGTGACGAAGGTCGGGGAGAATGAGGACGGCTGTCTCTGTGGCTCTGCCAACCTGGGTGAGGACATGCTGTGCTTGCTGCACAGCAAACATGAGAAGCCCAGAGCAGACCACACCCCGGATGACCTTCTGTGCTCCAAGAACACACCTTATCTGGCCAAGGACCAGGTCATGAAGTGGTTCCAGATCTCTGTGACCAAAGCCTGGGGACGGATTTCTCACAAGTACGAGTTTGAGCTCACTTTCCGCAACCTGGATGCTGCTGGAGCACTGAAGGTCCGATTCCGCTCAGGAAAGGTCGTTGTGATGAACATCATCCCTGTCGTGCAGCTAGAGGACACATATGCCTACTTTGTGTCACACTTCCCTTCTGACAGCAGCACCTCCTCAGACACTTACTGGCCCCTCTCCTTCGCTGTCTATGAGAGGAACCTGCTCAAACATGTGGCTAAAAGCCTGCCTGAAAATTCCTGCCACCTCCACTGCCTTCAGATCATCACTTTCCTACACAAGAAACAAATGGGTCTAACTGGCAGTTGTGCTCTGACCAACTACCACCTGAAGACGACCCTGCTGCACCTGTTGTTGGGTAAGGGGTCATCTAGCTGGGGCTCTGAGAATCTGGAGCACAGGCTACGAGACATGCTAGGCTTCCTTCACAGGAGTCTTCAGGAGAAGAGACTCTGTCATGCTCTGGTCGGGAACAGCCAAGTTCCACCAGAAGTCCGGGTTCCGGCAACATTCCACACGGCGGAGCCCATCAATCTTTTCCGGCCACTGGTGTTACAGAGAGAGCTTTACGCTGACACGCTTCGGCATTTCCAGGAGATGCTCAGGAATGCTCCTGTTCTGATTCAGGAGTACACGCCTCTGTTACAAAATGGCGACACTCACCACGGACTCAACTCAATGGCACAGTCTGAGTAATGGACTCTGTTTTTATGCACTGCAATGAGTGGAGGTATCCTCAATAATAATAATAATTCACAAATTTATGTTACAGCTTTAAGACATTTCTCTAAGCACTGAAAAGAAGAGGTGAACAACGCTCCTTTGTTATTTTGAGATATTTTGTGGTTGGTTTTATTTAATAGCAGCTTCTAAAAACACTCAAGGAAGTTACCAAAGCGTGTTCTTAGTAACAGTACTGTAACTGCTATTGCAATATGGCTGTTTCACAAGTGCAATTATATTTGACTGAATGAAGGCTTACAAAAACGGTTTTCCCCTCACAAAATTAGAGCGGTATATTTTGATGTGAAGAATAAGTATTATTTTTGTATTCTAGAGAAGACCACATCATACTTTTGTAGTATGGGTGTTTTTATGATGCAGTATTATCAGTTTTAAAGTACTTGTCAACAATTGCTATTTGACATAAGGCATATTCATTTTGTAAGCCGTGCAACATAGTTTGAAAATACCAATTGAAGACTCTCCCTGTTACACGTCTTGGCTGTCATTCACCAAAAGATAAGAATGTCAGCAAAGGTATTCTGTTGAAATTCCTTTAAATGGGTACTTGAGGAACATAAGAATTTTAGAAATTCCTTTCAGCATGTCAACCTTAGAAATGACACAGAACATGTACACAGCTGCTGTTGTAAGGTTGCGCTAACTAATTGAAGGAAACAATTCCTAAGTTCAGTCTTAGGTTCATGTATAATTAAATGGCAAATAGAAAATGTATGGTTTGAGATAGTAGAATGCACTTGTAAAAAATTTCATTTGTATACAAGTATATATATAATATATATATATAATGTTTTTTAATGTATAAAAAAAAAAGTTGTATATGTTTTGTAGTATTACCAGTATCTCTCATACCCATTGTAACTTGCCTATTTTACCACGAAATGTACTTTTAACAATGTATGTTTTTATTTGCATATGCAGTTTTTCTAAACATAAATGTTGAAGGCAGCTTCCAGTTTGATGGACTGTTTTATTACTTGTGTTGTGAGTCGTGACATTGATTTAACTACTCATTGACATACAAGATAGGATTTGACATTGTGACAGGCAAGACAATGGCGTAACCAATTCCACAAAGAGATATTATTCCATGGCAGTGCTCCACCCTCTATTCACAGACCTGTCCAAATACAGTATAGGATTGTGTAGGACTGTTGGTGAAAATAAGATAATGCAGATGACTAGCACACTATTCAACTTCCAGATTTCAGCACAACAATATAAAAATACTTGTTGTGCAGTCTTTAATACATAAACATATTTATATGCTTTTGTAAATGTTAAAAATCAACTGCCAGGTGTGGACAAAGCATGATAGAAATTAACTTAAACAGACATGATTCACATAGTTCCATTAATATTTCTGATCTGCCACTTATGAAACTACACTACAGTCATTCTAAATAATCATTGTTATGGGTTCATTGAAAATCTGGTAATCAAACCATGTTCCATATGCAATGAAGTGTAAACAGGAAAGGAGCACAGAAATGAACTTTGAGAAAAGTTTCCTATGAGATACACAGCTGCACAACTAGGTTGACATGTACAGCTGATGCCCTAATAACCATAGCAGGAATATCAAATTCATTTTAAATGGGAAAACTGGATGGTCAAGGATGAATTGCCACTGTGCAATTTATCTACAGGCAATAGTAAAAACTGGATTTCCATTCGAAGTAGCCCTTGTTAAAGGCCTTGTAGGTCTCATTGGGGTACATGGTGGCTTTGACTGTTGGATCTTCAGACATGCACTCTGTCCACTTCTTGAGCTCAGTGGTATCATTCAGACAGTTGGGAATAAGAGAAGACATTTATTTGAGTTTTGGAAATGAGACTAATGAGTCTGTCACGCGCAGTGCGATTTGGTTGAGCCAAACTATATAAATCACACAAGGAAGAGGACTCTCTCATAAACCCTCAGAGACGCAATAAGAATGGAGGATTTTGTAGACTGCTATTCATACACTTGGTCCAGTATTCACAAAGCGTTTAAGAGAAGGAGTATGATCAAACGATCATATGATCGGGGGACCAGGGCCTGTATCCACAAAGCGTCCCGGAGTAGAAAACCGATCCCAAGTGCTTAGAATAGAGACATTTTACTCCTCTTATGGGTAAAAATAGATTTTTAAGACACCTCATGAGCTGTCCTAACCAGTTAAGAGGTAATAGAAAAATGCAGTGAGTCAGTGGTGCCTGCGCCACATGCAATATTTTATATGATCAATCCATAAATAATCTAGAAGTAATAATAATTAAGAATATGCTAAGTGATCATGTCAAGCAAAAATTATATCAAACGTTTATACTAATTCTGATGGTTGTTAAAAGCGGAACTTAACAATATCACCATTATCAACACACTCTTCACTCTCGTTTTACAACTCTAAATCGTTTTGGCACACTGGCATCAAGATCAAGTCACTTGCCGATAATGTTGCATACAACATTGCACAAGCAGCCGCACCATGCGCAATGCCAAGCGCGTCGGCTGGAGTGGTGTAAAGCTCGCTGCCATTGGACTCTGGAGCAGTGGAAACGTGTTTTCTGGAGTGATGAATCATGCTTCAGCATCTGGCAGTCCAATCTGGGTTTGCCAGATTCCAGGAGAACACTACCAACCTGAATGCATAGTGCCAAATGTAAAGTTTGGTGGAGGAGGAATAATGGTCTGGGGCTGATTTTCATGGTTCGGGCTAGGCCCCTACAGTGAAGGGAAATCTTAATGCTACAGCATACTATGAATTTCTAGACGATTATGTGCTTCCAACTTTGGTGCGGCAGCAGTTTCGGTAAGGCCCTTTCCTGTTTCAGCATGAATATTGTGTGCTCTTAAAGGGGCACACATAGGGCTGTAGCGGTCACGAAATTTAGTCAGCCGGTGATTGTCAAGCAAATAACTGCCAGTCTCACGGTAATTGACCTTTAATTAACACATTTAGCATCTCCTGGCTTCCACACATAGCCTACAAGCCACTGATGCAGACCTTTGGAACATCTACATTTTAAAAAGTCTAATAAATCTACGTAATATAGCCTACACCTTCACAATAAATCCATTATTTATTTTAGACAGGTCTAAAGAAACATGATATGAAGAAAATGTAGTCTACTTCAGAAGAACAGAATAGCATACTCTGAGTTGTCCTTATGTTAGGTCCTCATCTGGCTATGCCAAATGGCTGTGGGCTACACTAGTTCATTTAGCAGACAAGATTTGCTTAGAATTCTGTGACATTATTTTATATTATTTTATAGTATGAAGAATACAATAGAACAAAGCTGAATAAAATAGAAAGGATTTAAGGGAGTGCACACACGCAGCTATTCTGTGTTAAGAGATTAACATAGAAATACTATAGGTACTCCTATATGCTTAATTTAGAGTTGTTCATGTAACTTTAGTTGTTCTACAAACGTTGGGCTATATGTTTAGTGTAGCTCTCTTCACGACAACAGACACAGGTTGGTTCCTTGAAACGGGCGTTTATTGCCTTGCACGTATTTTTCTCCGATGCATCCACGTCACGCCGTGAGAACTATATATTTGAATAAACACAGTAACGTTGATAAATTATACAGTACTGAAACAAAATAATACAAATGGCGCTCGGCGCGACAATACAAATGGCACTTGGCGCGAATACAAACAAAGTTCTACATGTTGAACAAAATACCTAATTGGCTGCTTGTCCTGAAAATAGGTTATTTAATCCTTAAAGTCCCTTTACTGTCTTTCTTTGCCTCTGCCATCAACAATTATAACTCAGACTAAGATCTGCTTAAATTAGATTGCACACAGTCAATTAACAAATTCCGTAGCAGTAACACAACAGAGAACGTTAGTTCCGGGATGGAACATAAAAACACAAACAATGGCCTAACGTTAATTTTACCTGTTACATCACATTTAAATTCTTACCTATACATCAATAAATCATTTATTTATTTACTACATCAAATAAACCATGAATTATGTATTAATCATGCATCGTGAACACAGCATCTATGTATCACCACTTATATTTAGATTTTTAATACATTGTAAGGCTGCATAATGCAACTAATGATTATTTGTTTTTTTTGCGCAGGCTGTACACACTTCATCAGTCTCGCATTCACAATTTGACGGCGGCATCCCCTTTGTGTGGCCGTAATGCCACCTAAAAATAATCCATGCCTTTGTGCTGAATATAATAATGATAATTCCCTTCTCCCTGAATGCTGCGTGCTCTGAAGCACTTCTCACTCACATGGCTCTCCATCACCTGATCGGGTCTTTCCCCAGGCTACAAGTGAAGAGAGACACATCGGGGATGCAACTACACGCATCCTTATCCAATTCCAAGGTGCATATTGAAGATATTGGAAGAACTGTCCACATTTACATTTTTTTGCCAACATGATAAGTAGGCCTAATGAACAGCAAAAGCACTAGCCCAATGTCAATTTACTATCCCCGATAGTACAAAAGTTGACCTATTCCATTCTGTGTGAGAAATACCTTTTCCAGACATAGTCTGGGACAGTTGTGGGATACGATAGATCCCAAATTAATACAACCACTAGCATCAACAAACCTGTTTTACGCAATGAAGCTGACGCAACAGATCAGAACGTTTAGCTTAAAATGTTGATAAACTATTAGGATATGTCTTCACATTATAAGCGCAGCAATGAGCACACGGCAGTAGGCTAAAAGCGTGAATGTTCCATTAGTGGGAAAACAACGTTATCAAAAGTGACTGCAAATGTGATTATGCATGTAATGCTTTTATTATAAAGGTGCATTTTTATTGTGAAAATTATCTTCCCCAAACTTGAAACTCACGCGCTGCTTATGTATGCCAGTTATGCTCTACACCCCTTGTAAAGTGGATTAATGTGCTTAATTTTCAGAAGTTATTTGGCCACTTTAGTTGTGATACAAACCTTATCAAAACATATAG